ACACACACACACACTCTCAGTCTCTCTCTCTCACACACACACACACACACAGAGCCAGATGCTTCTCGTGGTGCTGAAACCAATCTGGATGCCTTTCCTTACACACACACACACACACACACACATGTCTGCACAACAGTTTACTATAAATACACACACATTCGGACTCACACATACACGCACACACTCTCAGTCTCTCTCTCTCACACACACACACACACACACAGAGCCGGATGCTTCTCGTGGTGCTGAAACCAATCTGGATGCCTTTCCTTACACACACACACACACACACACACACACACATATCTGCACAACAGTTTACTATAAATACACACACATTCGGACTCACACATACACACACACACACACTCTCAGTCTCTCTCTCTCTCTCACACACACACACACACACACACACACACACACACACACACACACACACACACACACACAGAGCCGGATGCTTCTCGTGGTGCTGAAACCAATCTGGATGCCTTTCCTTACACACACACACACACACACACACACACACACATATCTGCACAACAGTTTACTATAAATACACACACATTCGGACTCACACATACACACACACACACTCTCAGTCTCTCTCTCTCTCACACACACACACACACACACACACACAGAGCCGGATGCTTCTCATGGTGCTGAAACCAATCTGGATGCCTTTCCTTACACACACACACACACACACACACACATATCTGCACAACAGTTTACTATAAATACACACACATTCGGACTCACACATACACACACACACACTCTCAGTCTCTCTCTCTCTCACACACACACACACACACACACACACACACTCACACACACACACACACACACACACACACACAGAGCCGGATGCTTCTCATGGTGCTGAAACCAATCTGGATGCCTTTCCTTACACACACACACACACACATATCTGCACAACAGTTTACTATAAATACACACACATTCGGACTCACACATACACACACACACACTCTCAGTCTCTCTCTCTCTCTCTCACACACACACACACACACACACACACACACACGCACAAAGAGAGAATCTCAAATTCTCTCCATCTGAGTCCAACATTAACTCACACACACACACACACACACACTAACACTCACACACACAGGGAGAGAGAGAGTTTCCCGTAGTGTAAATGTAATATAATACTCTATTTCATGTAATAAAGTAGTGTTGGCAGAGACATCATGCCACACTGGGGCCTTCTTTCCCTCCACACACACACACACAATCTCACACACATACACGTATCACACACACACACACTCAAACTGAATTAACACTCTGTCAGCAAAGATTTCTGTGAGAGGTAAATAAAACTGGTGTCGCCAAAAATGTGTGTGTGTGTGTGTTTATGCGTGACTGTCAACTAAAGTTTAACATCATTTATTTTAAATTTCTCACTGCCGATTGTAAACGATGTGTAGTTGAAGGGTAACTCCACAGTTCTGTGTGTGTGTGTGTGTGTGTGTGTGTGAGTGGCTCTTTTGTTCACTTCAGATCTGCAGCTCTGCTAATGAAGACGAGAACACACACTGACAGGACAAATCAGTCTTGATACAGGTGAAAGGAGACGTGTGTGTGTGTGTGTGTGTGTGTGTGTGAATTCCTCAAACATCTCTCCTGATTTCCCGCTGTGCTCCTGCTCATGTTCATACGCTTATAAGAAAAGAGCAGTAAGTGAATCTGAGAGCAGAACTCGTCCTGTTATTCTCTCTCTCTCTCTCTCTCGTTCTAGTTGTTAATGGCATTGATTTCTGAGAGTCTTTCGATGTGGAGATTTTGACTCTGAAAACATCAGTTAATATTCATTGGAATTTGTAATATCTTCAAATCTTTAAATGATGAACTGTAACTTCTTCAAGAGTATGTGCTTTACCATGAAACACTACAGCACATTATTTGAGATATGAACACATCTATGTTGCACTTGTACACACAAAAATGAAAATCCTGTTAAATTTACAGTAAATAACAGTCTGCAAGAAGATCAAAACACACAGATACTGTGCCGATGTTTCCAGTTCTACAGGATGCCTTCATCTTTCACAATATTTTTTTTAATACTTTATTTTTTATAGTTTCAACACATATACAAAAATTATAGTTAACAAAACAAACACAAACCAAAAAAACAATCTGAATTACCTTAACATTACAATTTAGTGAATGAGATACATCAACTTCAGACCTCTTCTTGTCGTTGAGATGTAAATATAGTCCATTTTCCCCAATTATTTGCTCATTGATCCTCTTGAACTCTTATCTTATGAGTCAACCATTTCATTACACTTATTTCAGACACTAGTTTCAGCCATTCATCTCGTGTTGGGGGGTCCGGCTTGTACCATCTTTTCGTAATGGCCTTTTTAAATGCTACTAACAAAATTTTAAACAGGTATCGGTCTTCTCGTGACACAGTGTTCACTTTCATATTACCAAAATACAGCACTGAACATGACTTAGGTATATCATAACCCAGGATTTCAACAATAACCAAGTGGACATCCTCCCAAAACTGATATTTCACAATTTATTACTGTTTATTTATATTTCACTAAGTAAAATAATGTTAATACCTATACTTTAACTACCAGAATCTTATTTTATCTTAAAAAGTGCCACAATAGTGCAGCCGGCTCGATACAAGATGATGAATCAAAGTTCATCATAAACAGTCTGTGTATAAAACATGCTCAATTATAACAAGGGAACATTACTGTAAGAAATAGAATCTTGTTGTATGTGTAATGCAGGGACTTCTGGGATTTTTATGCTGTGTTTTTTTAATGGAAATTCATAGTTTTTATTTTCAGCGTTCACTAGGGGTGTAACGATACCCTCAGGTCACGATTCGATACATATCACGAAACGATATTATTGCGATACTCCAAGACATATGATAAAAGGTTAACAAAAAATGTACTGTTGATTAAAATACTAAATTTGATATTACAATGTGGGTTTTTAATGAATAGGTTTTGGACAAGGACAATGGTGACACCAGAATAACAATATTCATGATTCTGAACCTAAAAATCTGATATATTTAAAATAATGTTGGCCACTTTTTACAGGTAACATAAGATATTTGGCATTATCAAGACCCATTGCACAAATATTCCCCCATTGCATTATCATACATTATATTCAAAGTTTTATATAGTAGTTTAATGTAGTAATGACACTAAAACTCTGAAAACTTGAATTTTTTTCTCACACTATCCACGAGACATATTGTCCCTATCCACGATACGTATTGTTGCTTTTTTGGATTGCGATATATTGTTACACACCCCTAGCGTTCACTCTTAGAAGAAAAGCTTCTATAAAGAACCTTAAAAGGTTCTATCAGTGCTACGTATTTGGAACCCCTAAAAGGTTCTATACACTCTTAAAAAAAAGGGTTCCTCTGGGTTCTATATAGAACCCTGGGGTTCCGTACTTGGCCAATAGAACCTTTTACCAGAAAAAATTGTTCATTTTGGAGTTCCATATATGAAGCGGGGGATGGAACCATTTCTGGTTCTAAATAGAACCATTTCGTGTTGGGTTTGGTTTTCGAAATGCGAATTTTGTCATTGTTTTGGATCACACTAGCTTCTAGATAACAGTAAAGCTAACATATTCACACTAAAAGCCAATCAATCAACTTTAACCCTTGTGCATCCTTGTGGACATTTTTGTCCTTTTCAGTTTAGTTTTTTTGATCACTTTGCCTGTGTTAAAGCTAACTGCAAAAAACTTGGCACAGGTGTGTATTTTTATTGGAATTTTACTATTTCACCGTCATTTTCTTAAAAAAATATTTTTTGCATTAGGTACAAAAAATACTCCCTCTCAGCACCTTTTGGACAAAAATGTCCCCATTAAAGCTGCCATTTTTAATCCCCGGTTCAGTTAACTATAAAATTATGCAATCTTTGTTAAGAGGCTTTCATTCTGATGGCAAGGCTTCAAAATGTTATTTTTTACTATTTTTTATCAGATGGTGCCATTTTTTTTAAAGTTTGGCCAATAAAACAAATATCGCTTTATTCCTGTTTTCTGCTTCGGCATATTATAGAGCCAACTGGATAAATTATGCAACAATATTTGTGTGGATGTGTTGGTATGGATGTCAGAGTGTGTTATAAAAAAATATGTGTGTGTGTGTGTTTGTAATACTGAGAGAGAAAAACTGCAATCACTGTGAGCTCCAGTGGGGTTTTGCTGGCACCCAATGGGGAAAATATGTCACTACGCCCAAACAAACTGTTACCGAAAGCTCATTTTTTGAGATATCATCCTCAAATTTGGAACACAACCTATTTAGATTTATGGCTTTGATTTTATTGCAGTTTTGAGTTCAACCTGATTTAAAAATATATATATTTTATATAAAATATTTTTAATAAATAATTTTCATAAACTTATACCTATATAACTTTTTTTTGGATTTACTTATTATTATTTTTTTACTTCAGCAATAATCTGCAAAGGGTCTTCTTTAAAATGACACCAAACTTAAGTCTGTGCTCCAAAGCGTCACGTTTTTTTTTATGACCGTTTTTTGACATGGACATTTTTGTCCTCTTTTTACCTATATGTGTAACTTTTTTAAATTGATGCACAAGGGTTAAACAGGGCACTATTTGAGTGTTTGAAACCATTGTGGACGTTACTGAGTGCACGTATTCAATCTCACTACTGGAAATGTAGATTCATAGATTCAGAGAAATGCATTGACACTTACTTTTTTACTTTTGATACGCAAACGAGTTCTTGTGTACTTCTACTCAACCTTTACAACTTTTACTTGTAACGGAGTAACATCTGACCAGTAGTTTCTGCACTTTCACTCAAGTAAGGAAGTTGTGTACTTGCATTTGAGCACAAATCCCTCAGCGTTACACATGTTAACGATGTTTTAAACGTTCTCAGACGAGTGTGTGAAGCTGTGCTGGCGTCTTGTGTTGCAGAAGTTGGCAGCCGAGTGTCAGAGCGCCGGATACAGCGGCACCCTGATCCCGTATAAGTGTGATCTGTGCAACGAGGACGAGATCCTCTCCATGTTTTCCGCCATTAAGACGTTGCATCAGGGAGTGGACGTGTGTATTAACAACGCTGGTCTGGCTCACAACGAACCACTGCTCAGCGGAAGCACTGAAGGGTGGAGGAATATGATCGATGTGAGTATCAGCACTCCCCATGTCTGAGAGAAGCCTCAGGAGAGACTTGCGCTATTACTATAGTCGGAAAGTGTGTGTTTCACAAAAAAATTTGTACATTAAATGGATCAGAAGTGACATAATATGAAGCAGCACAATTGTTTTTAATGTTTCTTGAGCAGCAAATCATCATATTAGAATGATTTCTGAAGGATCATGTGACACTCAAGACTGGAGTACACACACACACACACACACACACACACACACTCATACATATTAGAATAGTGCTGCTTTTATTCATCATTTCTGCTCGCCTCTTCAACTGGTTTTAACCTCATCCTTCCCTCGGGTCATTTTGATCTGAAATGTTGAACATAAAACAAAAAAAATTGAGGGTTCGTCAAAGGGGCTCATCTTTCGTCGCACTTGAACCACGAATATACAAAAAAAATGGATTTGAGGGGTTTTTTGGTTGAAATTAATTTGCAATTTGACCACTTAGAAATGTGAGGAATGCTAACTAAAAATGCTAAAACAAAAAAAAAAAGATTTTATAATGTCCACGTGTGTCTGAATGCAGACTGAAGTGAACTGACTTTAGGACCCAGAGGAACAGCTCGAGGCCATCTAGTGGCAAGAATCATGAAATAATATTATTATTTTCCCACCAGAGGTCGAGAAACACTCCAATGTAAGATATTTAGAGCGGAATTTAAAAAGGTTAATGCATTAAAATTGTGAGTTCTTTTGAAATTAAGTTGAAATGTGCTTAAATTATTATTTATTGATTATTTATCAAATCTAGTCATTTAAAGGTAAAACAAAAATCTGCATTAAAAAAAAGAGAAAAAATATTATCAAGATGAAATGTACGGAGGCGTATTGCATTCACTTGAAGAAAAAAAATCTACTCTGTTTTTCTGAATTAACGAGTTAATTTTTCAAAATATAAGCCTTAAAATAAGCTTTCTGGACAAAAAGAAAAAAAGAAGTATAATTTTGACTTTGGCGTCGCTGCTAGAGCCACACTTTACTGTTTTTTGGGGTAAAATATGACCTGGATGTCACGTGATCTGGATCTTTATCATCCATGTGCAGGTAAACGTCCTCGCTCTGGCCATCTGCACACGTGAGGCCTACCAGTCCATGAAGGAGAGAAACGTGGACGACGGACACATCATCAACATCAACAGGTACTCCTGCTTCACTGAGCCACAGACTATCTCCACTTCGCTAAAATAGTGATCATGGCATCAAGGTCCCGCCCACAATCCTCATTCGCAAGCACAGATGTCAATCATGACGGTACGCCTATAGAATTACATATAACTAAATTATTTGAAGTTTGAATTTGGGGCTCACATCCCATCAGATTCCATGGAGAGGGGGCGGGGTTTATGACATGCACTGCAAGCGGCCACCAGGGGGCGATCGAGACGCTTTAGCTTCACTTGCTTTGAGCCCTTTAACAGCACACACACACAAGTCACATTTATTTATACAGCGCTTTTTACAATACGGATGGTTTCAGAGCAGCTTTACTGAGATAACACACAATGAAAAGACACACACACACACACACACCTGAGGCTGTTGTTGATCTTGTCTGCAGTATGGGGGGTCACAGGATGGTGCCCAGCGCTGACGAACACTTTTACTGCGCCACCAAATATGCTGTGACCGCCATGACAGAAGGATTGAGACAGGAGCTACGGGAGGCCAAAACACACATACGAGCCACGGTGAGCATACACACACACACACACTCACGCATTCCACACACACAAACCAGGTCTTGACCCTCAAACAAGCCTTTAAAGCGCTCTCAGAAAGTGAGGATTGGCCAATATGTCGTCAGTCTGACTCACACCGCTCCACACACTCAGCTTTATTTCTACACACCGTTTCAAAGCTACGGAGGCGTATTGCATTCACTTGAAGAAAAAAAAT